ATCACAGTTCTTCGGGCTGAGGTTTCCTGGGAGATTATATTTTATGTTTTATAACTGGCCCTGAAACAGGAAGTGTACGGCCCAGCTCTCCTTGTGGCTTCCAAGGCCTGTGCTACATTTTATACTGTAAGGACAGCAAATGTATTATTCTATGAGGCTTGACTTGGGAAGAATATAAACTACCTCAAGGTAGAATACAAATATCATTTTCACCTTAAATCTGAGTAAATAGTCTTACAGTTTCTAAATCCTATTATATGTACAAACTTTGCATGTAAAGGTTGAGCCAAGTCGACAGAGGAATGTAGGTAAACACATCCTTTTCCCATAAGTACACAGTATTGAATGGAGGAGAAAGAAGCTTTATGCTCTAGTCCCTCACTCCCTCAATCACAGACCTTTTAAAGGAAAAGACAGAGTTAAAATAATAAGCCTGAGTTTTATGATAAGGAACTTTGGTATTTGAGTTTCAGTGAACTACAGAGTTAGACCGGGCTTCTGCAGATCCATTGACTATGAGCCTGAGCTCAGAGCCCCAGCAGAGCCCACCAGCCCACATCCTAATTCCCAGCCTTGCATTTGAATTCAAGGTCTTTTCAGTGGGAACTCCAAGATCTGAATTACTTTTTCCTGCAGGGCACCTGGACTTAGATAACTTCCATTGTTCCCACCATTTCATTCTTATTTAAAAAATGACTAATTGCCAGTGGCCTTTGAGAGAGAGGTAGTAGTATAACAGAAAAGGTAGAATTAAGAGTCTAGATTCTATAGTACAGCTTGAGATACCTCCAGACCATCTGTTGTTGTACAGGATTGTTTTAGCAATTCTGGGTTTTTTGTTTTTCCATATGAAATTGAGAATTGTTCTTTCAAGGTCTGTAAAGAATTGTGTTGGTATTTTGATGAACTCAAGCTGTACTACAGAGCAATAGTAATAAAAACTGCATGATGCTGGCATTGAAACAGAATGATGGATCAATGGAATGAAATAAAAGACCCGGAAGTAAACCCACATACCTACAGATACTTGATTTTTGACAAAGAAGCCAAAACTGTACAATGGAAATACAGCATCTTCAACAAATGGTACTAGTCTAACTGGATATCTACATGTAGAAAAATGAAAATAGATCCATACTTATCACCCTGCACAAAACTAAAGTCCAAGTAGATCAAAGACCTCAACATAAAACGGGGCACACTAAACCTGTCAGAAGAAAAAGTGGGGAAAGCCTTGAACTCATTGGCACAGGAGACAACTTCCTGAACAGAACACCAACAGCACAGTCTCTAAGAGCAACAATCAATAAATGGGACCTCATGAAACTAAAAAGCTTCTGTAAAGCAAAGGACATAGTCACCAGAACAGAACGACAGCCTACAGATTGGGAAAGGATCTTCACCAACCCTATATCTGACAGAGGGCTAATATCCAGTATGTATAAAGAATTCAAGAAGTTAAACAGCAACAAATCAAGTAATCCAATTAAAAAATGGGGTACAGAGCTAAACAGAGAATTCTCAATAGAGGAACATCAAATGGCAGAGAAATAATTAAATAAATGTTAAATGTCCTTAGTCATCAGGAAAATGCAAATCAAAATGACCCTGAGATTTCACCTTACACCCATCAGAATGGCTAAGTGACATTAGCCAATGAATAACTCAAGTGACAACACATGCTGGAGAGGATGTGGAGAAAGGGGAACCCGCCTCCACTGCTGGTGGGAATGTAAACTTGTACAACCTCTTTGGAAATCAATCTGGAGCTTTCTCAGACAATTAGGAATAGTGCTTCCTCAAGATCCAGCCATACCACTCCTAGGCATATATCTAAAATTTGCTCAAGTATACAGCAAGGACATTTGCTCAACCAAGTTCATAACAGCTTTATTCGTAATAGCCAGATTCTGGAAACAACCCAAATGTCCCTTAACAGAGGAATGGATACGGAAATTGTGGTACATTTACACAGTGGAATACTATTCAGCAATTAAAAACAAAGAAATCATGAAATTTGTAGGCAAATGTTGGGAACTAGTAAAGATCATCCTGAGTGAGGTATCCCAGAAGCAGAAAGACACACATGATATATACTCACTTATAAGTGGATATTAGGCAAATAATATAGGAAAAACATACTAAAATCTGTTTACCTAAAGAAGCAATCAAGGAGGATCCTGGGTAAGATGATCAATCCTTACTCAGAAACACAAACGGGATGGACATTGGAAGATGGAGAAAACAGGGAACAAGACAGGAGCCTACCATAGAGGGCCTCTGAAAGACTCTACCCAGCAAGGTATCAAAGCAGATGCTGAGACTCATAGCCAAACTTTTTGCAGAGTGCAGGAAATCTTATGAAAGAAGGTGAAGATAGAAATACCTGGAGGGGATTGGAGCTCCACAAGGAGAGCAACAGAACCAAGAAATCTGGACCCACGGGTCTTTTCTGAGACTGATATTCTAACCAAGAACCATGCATGGAGATAACCTATAGTCCCTAGACCCCCTGCACAGATGTAGCCCATGGCCACACAATATCCAAGTGGGTTCCCTAGAGAATAGGGTCTGTCTCTGACATGAACTCAGTGGCTGGCTCTTTGATCACCTCCCCCTGATGGGGGAGCAGCCTTACCAGGCCACAGAGGAAGACAATGCAGCCACTCCTGATGAGACCTGATAAGCTAGGGTCAGATGGAAGGGGAGGAAGACCTCCTCTATCAGTAGAATTGGGCAGGCACATGGGAGGAGATGTGGGAGGGTGGGTGGGATTGGTGGGGATGGGGGGAGGCTACAGCTGGGATACAATGTAAAATAAATTGTAATTAATAAAAAAAAAATAAATTTTAAAAAGAGTTTAGATTCTTTTGTTCTGACTTCATTTGTCTATAAAATAGGACTCAACACAGCATTTTTTTAAGAACTGGAAATGTCCAGTCTTGGCACAGTACCTAGTACGTTGCTGGGTTGGGTAAGTGGTAGTTATGAATATTCTAGTCCCCCTATAAGCAAAGAATGCTTGCAAACCTTTCTCTTAGAATAATAGCCCTGCTGATAACTGCAGAACCTAGCTTCTTCAGCTTCCACCAGCATTAAGGTGTCCATGAGAATGTTTTGGTTTAGGCAAATGGCATGTTTGGGTCATTATGTCAAGCCTCACTTCGATTTTCACATAAAATCGATGAAATTTAATATCTGATTAAATTTAATATCTGATGAAATTTAATATCAAGTAACCATATATGCCCTGCACAAAAAGTGTTATAGTGTTTGAGCCTGAAGTCCCCCCCCCTCCTGCCACCCCACAGTCTCTGATTTGGATGCTCGGTGACTTGGAGCATTCAGGAAATGGGGCCTGGCCAACAGAATTAGATGGGTTGGGGCAAGATTCTGAATGCTATTTCTGTCCCTGGATCCAGTCTAGATGTCCCTGCTTTCTAGTCTGCGACCATGTAAACACTTATACCTTGTACTCCTGCCATGGATGCAGCCACTCCAGAACTATGCCTTCCTTCCAACACAGACCACAATTTCTCTAAGACCATAAGCCAAGTAACTCCTTACTCCCAAAAGTTGCTTGTGTTGACTACCTGGTCACAGTAATGAGAATGATAACTAAAACAGAGATACTCTGCAAGACTAGGCCCCAAATGCAATCAGCAGAATGAACTGCTTATTTTAAAAGGAATTTCTGGATTTATATAGACCTCACAAAGAAAGCCATGTGGTAGGGCAGATTCTGTGTGAGATGACAAAAAAAGCACCAGGAACGTTTCTAAGGTGTGGGGGACTTCCCAACCCACACAGGACAGGACATATCAACACCAATACCAACCCATTAAGAACTAACCAGCTGTTCACACATTTTTTGGAGACCAGAAAATTTACAATTCTGATATAATTTCAGGAGAAAATATGTGTCTAGGCCATGATAATAGTGGTAAAACTCATGGAAGCCTTAAAGGACCAGGTAACTTAAAACCAAAGAAGGAATGTGTTGTCTTTAACTAGCTTCTTCTGTCCTGGCTTTTGCTTCTAAGCCATCAGGAACCTGCATTTGTAGTTCATATCTGTTAGGCCTTATGTTTAACAATTTGAATCTTACACGCATTCCAAAAGAAAGTGCAGTTAAGGAACCCCAAACGTGAGAATTTTGGTTTCTTTAAAAATATAGAGATGTCATGTGAAGATGTTTTTGCTTTAATTCCAGGTGTGAGGCATGGAGCTGCTTCAGATATTCCACAGTAGCAAACTATGATTCATGCCGTGCTCTGGCAGGGGTGTGACTTTGCCAGCTGCAGATGGTTACATTTGGAATTCTGGGGACCCTTCAGAGGGTATATAAATGCCAGAGCCCCAAGAGAGGCATAGGTTGTGGCTGCCCCTGCAGCCACTGGTGCTGTTTTTCTGCTGACGCTGTTTTCAGGAAGGACTGGTTGCTGGATGGAGATACCATGACAGTGAAGGTCAAACTAGCTGCAAGGAACTCCATGTCCCTAATCAGCAGGAAGCAGTCTAACACCCACTCTCCCCTCCAACCTTCTTTTTCTCCTACCCAGTGCTGGGCGTCGGAAGGGGTAGAGGTGGTATGGGGAGGTAGGAAAAAGAACCCATAAAAGTAGCCAAAAGTCCGGCTGCACCAAGATAGAGTTTTAATTTCTGGGGCCACTGATGGCAGTTGAGCTTTCTTCCAGTGCCCCTGCCATTCTGCAGCAGAGGCACAAACTTCCACATAATATCAAGGAAGTTCAGTAATGCTGATAACCAAACTGCTCACAGAATCCACATTTGTCTTATTCAAAGCAAATTTTACAATGCCTGAAATGCCTCACAATTTAACAGTGTTCAACAAAGGATTTAATGACAGTTATTATAACGATTCAAATAAAAATGTAAAAGTTCTTGTGAATAGTGCCATAATATTTTAATATCAATGAAATAATCCTAAATCTGTTATTTTTTTTTCCAGAAAAATTGTAAAGAATGAGCTTGCTTACATTACTCTGGTGTCTGTTGACCTCCATGGCATGTCTGACCTCTGGTGGTTCCTTCATGTGGGCGTAATCAGAGAAGCCTTTCTCAGCATCATGCTTCTGCTTGTAGGCAACCTTCAAATGCACATATAGATTAGAACCAATTTAGAGGTGTGTTAAACTCTCTGCTTTAAATTCTTCTGTTTCACTGGCTGACAGTTAAATTTTCCTGAGCGTTTGTAACAATACCCGTAACGCTCTCATCTCAGCTCTGCAGCTTAGAGTCATAACTCAAAACTTGCAGTTTATCTCAAAGAGGCCCTTAAACAAAAGATTGAAAACCTCAATTGTATTCATCTGTCTTAAATCCTTGCTTCAATTTGGGGAAATCCTCAATGACTGAGAGCTTGCAGGGCTACACATGGCCACGGATCAATTTTTGAGGAAGCAACTGAGTAAGTGGAGGGCAATAAAATGTATCAAACTGGTTTACTTTTAAATACATATTCTAATTATTTTTAATTATGTGGGGGTTGGGGTACAGATGCCCAAGAAGGCCAGAGGCATCAGATACTCCCGGACAAGAGTTACCCGTTGTTGTGGGTGCTGGACTCGAACTCCAGTCCCCTGCAAAATCCATATGCACTCTTGGCCACTGAGCCATCTCTCCAGTGCCATGGAGAGATGGTTCTGATTTTATGTAGACACAAATGGTTGGCTGGTATGATATGGCAGATGATCTGATAATCCACATTAAATCCCCCAATTTGGGAGAATATTTAACATACAGGCAAAACGTCTTCCCTAAGGGACACCATCAGTCCTGCCCATCGCCTGCCCGTTGCCACCATTCTCAGTTTGTTCTTCACTGAGCTGGAGAGGGGATGTGATACAGATGCCTCAGGAGGTGACAGTCTACCCCAACAACAAAACTGGAAATGAAAGTAAGCCATACAGGAAATCTTCCCTTGTTCTCAGTGTTTGCCATCAGACCATTTATGTCCTTCGCAATTAATGTTTGGTATTTAATTTTTGTATAATCACCTATTATCTGTCCTCCCTCACTGAAACACACAACTGTTCAACTCCCTAAACGAACCCCACAATAGCATTTGGAAAAAAAAAATCAGTATCAATGAATAACTAACCAACAAATTAACAAGTGAATAAATGAATGCAGGAATGAATGAGAGCAATAACTGCATAAAAAAAGCAAAATCAATTTCAGCATGTTAAGTGAACTTAAAATTGCTTGATACAAGGAAATAAAGGTAAATAAAATGAGTACTAGGACAGTATTCAGCAATAATGAAACAGAGTCTGCTGTCAGTGAAAAGAATATAGTCAAACTTAAGAAAGAATTTGGCACCAATATGAGCTCCTTGGAAGCTATTCTGATATCTTACACATCTTTTAATATCCTGTGCTTATCAGAGTAAGTAACACAGAGTAGAAATGCAATAAACTTTTAGTACATGAATGAACAAATGGGTTTATTCAGTATTCTCATAAAGTTACACTCCCCGCAGGCTTTATAAACAGAACTGGCTAACCATTTAACATTGTTAATGCAGAAGTCAAAATTATTAACGTGCTAAGAAGAGGGCTATTTTTCATAGGTAGCCATTGAATCTGACCATCCTTAAAAGTATAGCTATCAACACTTCAATGGACAATCTGGCTCCACATTTAAGTTTTCTTGAGAACTTGTACTACTAAAAACAGCTTTCACACTGGGATGTCACATACCCTAAATATTGTTAAGCTTTGTTGAAAGTTGTTCCTTTAATCAAACCCCCCAACCTGTGTCCCCAGAGCTGGGTCTGTGTAGATGCAGAGAGGAAAACTAGCTCATAATACAGAGTTTCCCATGTGAGCAGACAGCGTTCACTGGCTTCCAAGCCTCTAGACTGTCCACATAAACTCAAGGGCTGAACCTCTCTGCACTTTCCAAGGTGCTCACAAGATCCAACTGCCAATTGATCCACCTCTTTCCTAGAGTACTGATATTGATCTGACTCAATCTCGTGAGAATTTATGTAATTAAATCCTGGTTATAATCTTCCAATTTCCAGAAGATATTAACACAGCTCTAGGTCATTTTTCTTTTGCTGGCTGTGTGGGAATTTCTGATAATTAACATACTTAAGTCAGATTCAGTCCTATCTAATTAGATTCCTGTATCTAATCCTGTACATTTGGTTGATTACCAAAACTCAAATGTAGTACTTCATATATTCCAGGCTCAATTCATCTTGCTATGATGTGTCCCTCAGTTTACTCCAAAAGACACATAATTATGACGAACATCTTTATGTTTTCAGCGATTACTTAGGTGAGAAACCTCCACATGGGCTGACAGTCTATTATAACACCTACTTATGTTTTATATTATGCCTCTGAGGAAACGGAGGATTTAATGGGTGGCCAAGTCAATAAAACCACGAAAAACTTCCATGAGATTTGCTCCTTCCTCTTAAATAAAAAGAGCCAGCGTGTGTCTATTCCCTCTTTTGATGAGTGCTTGCTATATTCTGCATTTTAGACTGAATACCACACTTGTGACTTCATAAACATAACTAGTGCAGTCCATCATTTTGTGAGTTATCATGGACATAGTGACTCATCCAGAAACAATTTGAAAAAGCACTCTTTCTTAAAGAGGATACATAATTTTCTACTTCAGCTTTAAAATAGTCATTTCATTTATAGCTGCGACTATGCACAGCTTTAAAACTGAGCTTGCATCAAGCTGGAGGCAGTTGAACTTTAATTTATTATAGCAATTTTCTTCCTTTAAATAGCTAATGGAAATGATGTCAAGCTTATACTTTTTCTGATAAATTTAATTTTTTAAGGGTTTGTCATTTTGTAATGTTTCCGTAACTATTTTCCTCACAGTGGAGCTGCACAGCTGAATCAGAGTATATACTGTTAACAGTTTCATGTTCTATATGAACATGCTTGAATGGCAGTATTTTTACAGTTATCTCATGTATTTTATCTTTTAGTAGATATTTTTGAGTCAGAGTGTGCTGTGTGTCTGAGGCTGACATAGAACTTACTATATTGCTAACATGACCTTGAACTTTGATTCTCCTATTTCTTTCCTCAGTGCTTGGATTACAGGTTTTACTTCCATAGATTTTTGCATCACACGCAGACACACACACACACACACACACACACACCTACCTGACACCTATGAACTGCAGACACAGAAGCCTGTGGCCACCGATGACACAAATGCAGACTCACCTAAGTCTGCTCAGTTCTAGTGACCGAAGTACCTGTGATCACTGCTGTGGTGCAGGAGTATTCAGCAGGCACACGTCATTCCATTCTTGGGTTTCTTTAGAATCTTTATTTTTATGTAACTCATAAATTGGTCTCCCATAAACATTAGAACTCTCTTTCTCTCATTTCTTCCTACCAATCACCTTGTTGAAGAAAGTGTGAACCTAGCTCAGTTTCCCTTTCAGGCTAGTTACCAGGTGGAAATGGCTATTTTGGTGATTTTGAGTTACAAACGTGCGGAAGAGCTATCACCATACGAGTTCATTTTCACTTCAGAAGTGTCTGGAAAACTTCTCCCCTAAAGTGAGCCAAATTGTAAGGCATTCTGAATGTGCTCCTTCTCTCAAATCCCTTATAGTAGACTCCAAACTAGAACGCACTGCTACTTTTTGACTAGGTACTTCATTTTCTTCATAGCACAGATGACAAACTGACAAACTTGGGTTTAGCATTCAATAGTATATGCAACCAGATTTCATAGAAGAGATTATGAAGGGCAAGGAGACAGGGGGCTATAAAAGCAACCAGTGAGACACTTGCTATTCAAGTCCAAGGATATCACAACTCTGATCCTACATGACCAAAGTTAAAACTTAATTATTATAAACAGGCACTTGCAAGTAATACATCTGCTTTCTTAATGGATGCATATAAATCTAAAGAAACATCATTACAGGTTTGTCAGCCTTTGAAACAGAAATCTTATGAAGAACCAGAAGTTCTCTTGTACAGAAAGTCAGAAGTTAATCAGAGGGGAAGTGTTCATATCTTGCTATGCACTCAGGTCCACCGATTGTGTCTATCATAGGAGAAAATGGTAGAAATGTACATGCTAACTAATTCTGACAAACACATTATCAATCCTAATATATCCTCTATGAATTTTTTTTCATGTTAAATGCTACGTTGCAAGGTTTGATATGCTTACCTGGAAGGTGAGAAAACCTGCACTGCAAAACAACAACTAGAATCCAAGCACCTGCCTGAGTTTGAGTTTCTATTGCTGCTGTGACACACCATGATCAAAGCAACTTGGGAGGAAAAGGTTTGTCTGGGTTACATTTCCACAGCAGTGTTTATCATCGAAGGAAGTCAGGGCAGGAACATGGAGGCAGGAGCTGATGCTGAGGCCAGAGAGGGGTGAGACTTAATGGTTTGCTCATGACGGCATGCTCAGTCTGCTTTCTTATAGAACCCAGGACCACCGGGCATGGATTGCTCCACCCACAAAGAGTTAGGCCCTTGCCCATCAATCACTAATTAAGAAAATGCTCTATGGCCTTGCTTACAGCCCCATCTTAGTGAAGAATTCTCTCAACTGAGATGCCTTTTTTTTTTTTCAATGAGTTTAGCCTGTGTGGAGCTGACAGAAAACTATCCAGCACATATCCCAAAGTATTACCTCACCAAGCACAAACATAAGAATGCACTCCTTTTCTCTCCTGAATAATTGTTACTTGTCCCACATCAAATGTTGTGCTGTAATTATGTGCTTTGTTAAGTAGCCCATATCATCAACAAATTGCTAAGTGACCAGATGTTGGCAGGGCAAGTAAAGGACATACTCAACACAGTCAGCCATGCAGAACCTCACCATTGTTTATTTTTAGACTCATCTTGAATAGTTGAGATAGAGTCACTGCCAAGCTGAGGACATGGTAGATGCTTAAATTTATAATAATGAATTACTTAAAGATGTTCTAAGAAGGGTTCCATGCTTAGCATTTTTCCAGAGTAATCCTTTTGGGGATTACTTGAAACTAAAGGCAACTTCTACTTAAAAATAAAAAAAATCTAAAGAAGAAAGTAAATTTCCTGAAACAAGGCCTCACGTGCCTCTGGCACATGGCTTTATAATGACAGCACTTCAGAGACTGAAGTGGGAGGATTATGAGCTGAAGTTCTACCGAGTGTGGGGCCAGCCTGGGCTACATTTGAGGCTGTCTCAAAAAAATTTAAATGTATTTTAAAACAGAAATAAATCTGACTGATAAGAAAGCAAGGAGTAGAAAGGGCAGGAGAGATGAAGAATCAGCACGTGTTGAGGATTCCGATTTGGAGATTAGCAAGCTGTGTTTGTGTTGTGGCTCTGGTTTTTCCTGGATGTGTTAATTCTATTTTCAGTGTCTGTGATTGTTTCTACAATCCTACAGGGGGATGCCTTGTGGAGCTGTTGAGAGGGTAAATGGACAAAAGTGAGAAGAACATAGAACAGCACCTGACCCAGGTAATGCTGTGTGTTATCACAGACCTTCACTACACAGGAAGACAGAAACTACGCAGGCGGAAGTTTATCCTTAGGAAGATAATCAACATACATTCAACTGAACGTATAGTTCATAGGTGATGGGGAACGCTCCAAGTACAGAGCAGAAAATGAGTCAGAAGAGGCTCATCCACAAAGTTCAGAGGGCCAAATAACAGAGTACAGACCACCACCAACAGCATTGCTATCATCATCATGGTCATCATCATCATCAGACTGCAATGTGAAAAAAAAAAAAAAAAAAACAAAAAACGAGCCATTCGCAATGTGATGAAAACAATGAGCCAGAAAGCATCAAAATATTCTAGTTTGAAATTCTGTAGCTAGAAATTCAGGAGATGGAGAACATTCAGAATGCCTTACCTGTCAATCTCTTTTAAGAAAAAAAATCAGCCCCCTACACTCCTGGCCTTGAAATGAGTTCTCATGATGACAGCGTGTCTATTTTTCTGCAAGTTAAAATCACTGTAATAACAACTTCAACCTGCTGGAGTTCCTGGGCAGGGCTGTTGATCACCTAACAGGAAACACATGCCATAGAATAGGGTGTTCCTGAAGCATTGGTTTGGCAGAGGGAGCAAGATTCTGTGCATGTCCCTAATCCAGCCACCACCTGTTTCCCTGACTTTGTAAATTCTACTGAAATGTTCTTGGCTTTGGGATAATACAGGAAATCAGAGACTCATTTGACAGTAGCTAGCAAAAGTCCACCTATGAGACTGTCTGGATGATGTTGCAATCAGATCTTTAAAGAGCAATAAATGGGACATGGAGAAGCAGACAGGTGGCTGACATGGACCTGATACCCAAAGGTTACCTTCATTTTCTGTACAGAATTGAAAAGTATACACAAGTTGCTTCTAACCTCCATTTACTACGTGATAACCAAGATAAACAATTCTCATCAACTGCCAAATGACTTTCACAAGGTTACAAATTTGAGCCATACCTCACTCTGAAGCTGGGACACCTCTCTGGCAAAGACACTGTCAATGGTGGCTGGCATGTGCTTATACAGACAGTTGGAGAGATCCGCTTTAATGCTACCTTTGTATTTTGCCTAAGAGAAAAAGAAAAGAAAAATAAATAAAAGCATCCTCCTTTTGCTATTGTGACTATAAAAGAAAACTTAATTCAGAAACATAATTGTTTTTAAAAACCTTCAGGCTATTTAAATATATGTCAATAAATCTGATGGGCATATTCTGAAAGAGAAAAATAAATCCAGTGTATTGTGGGGAGGGCTTGAAATGCAATATGGAAGGACAGGGGACAGTTTCAGTTTCGATCTGTGTATTGAGAGGTTCATGGGTTTGGCCAGTGAACAAATGGTCTGAGAACAATGAGATCTTCTGAGCCACAAAATAGTAGCTCTGTCATTAGAATTTACTGTCTAGAATCTAAATGCAAATAATAGTGATAGACGGGCCATGATGTTGGATAACAGGAACCCAGACAATTAGGTACAATAAATTTGTTAAAGTGTTCTCCAGAACTGAGGGTGACCACAGTTCACAACCGACTGTTGTTTATTTTATGAAAAACTGAAGAGGGTTGCTGAAAGCTGCAGACACAAAACAAGAACAAGGAGAAAGAAACATTATTTCCCTTGATTTGCTCAGTACCTATTATATATATACTGAAACATAATACTCAGCCCAGAAATACGTACATATTTTATCTATCTGCTAATGAAAAGTTTTTTGTAGGAGATTTTTAAAAAATGTTAACTACATGTTATAATAAATGTATAGAATTGTCATATTAAATCCTCTAAACCTGTGTGGTTTAATAATAATAAATAGGAGGAGGAGAAAGAGGAGTATTCCTTTATTAAAGCCTTCTTGGCTTCCTTTAGCCACAGTGGAAGGTGGAGGCGCATTTACTCTGTGTGTGTGTGTGTGTGTGTGTGTGTGTGTGTGTGTGTGTGTGTGT